TTAGTTCCAGGTGTAGGATCTATAATAACCCTAAACAAACCCTCAAAAGTAAAGCAATCAAGGCAATCAAGAGAAACAATTTAATGATCTAGATCCTAAGGTAAACCCCACTTTATTTTAAGTCCCCAGCAGAGTCGCCAGTTCTGTGATACGGTGGCAGAACCGACTGTTAATACTGGTTTGCATTTTTGCGTTTTTTGTTTGCAAAATGTCGCGGTAAGCAAGAGTTGCCACCGACTTTTATTTCATCCAATCATGGAAAAGGAAAAAGAACAGAAAAACCTTTTTTCGAGATATTCTGAGTACGGGGGGTAGATTATAGAAAGGGAAGGTGTTAGCACCCTTTCTATCCGTAGTTATCTACGGGCTCTTAGGTACTTGCTCATTTTTCAAATTGCTTGTGTGTGTTTGTCTTGAAAATGTTTTACTTCATGATAACCCTTGCATCAGTCCTCAAAGATGTGATGAAGTTTGTTTTGAAAATTTGTTTTGAAAGGGTGTTTGTGTGAAAAGTTTTTCATTGAGCAAGTACTTAAGATTCTACCTACTCGAAAAAAGGATTGTTCGTTCTATTTCCTTTAGACAACGCTATCCTACTATTAATGAGTAGGTAGCACCGTCGTTGGAGTTGTAAGGGACATTCGAAAGGGATAAATACAATCACTAAAGCAATAGTTAGAAAACTTTAGTAGTAACCCTAGAGTCTTAAGATCTTTCCGAGGTAATATTTCCGAGGCAACATTTATGAGACAACATTCAAATGGGACACTTTGATCTCTTTAGACTGGAGGGCAATCACTAAAATCTTCTATGCTTAATGATTGTTTACCAAAGGCAACCGAAGTGAGGTAAACCCTAGGAGTGAATATGTGCATATGATTTGTTTCAGTTATTTAATCTTTTCACATTAGGTGATCTACCGTTTTAATTTTCCAGACATTCTTGCCATATAATCCTATTAGCCATGCATCTAGATAGTTAAAGATTGCGGGAATTAAAAGTGCGAGGAAATAAAACCTAGCTATTACAAGGCTTCGGTGAGGGGGATTAATTACATAACCAAAAATCAGGGATTTAAACAGTAAAATAAAAACCCTAAGTTAACTATTACAAACCCTGAACAGTTACAAAATAATGGACAAATAATTAATAAGCGCGCGTCAAATTAAATGCGAGGACGATTGAAATAATCTAAAACCCTAATTTGAGAGAAAAAGATTTTTTTTGGATTTTTATTTGAGAAAATGTTTAATTGCAAATTAATTAAACCTAATTTCTAATTGTTGTTAAATTATGAAAGAAATTAAATTAACCTAATTTTCTAACTAAATTAATTAATTAAAGGAATAAATATTTATAAGAAAAAAAATGATTTTTTAATGTATTTTTTTAAAGAAAATTAATTAAATTAGATACCACTAAAATCCTAATTCTAATCATTTTTAATTATATATAAAAAAATTAAATTACCCTAAATTAATTAAACTAATTAATTCAAAAAATATTTATTAAGAAAAAAAGATCTTTTTGTGATTTTTGATTTGTTAATTTAATAAAAATAATTTTTGTATTGATTAAAAAAACAAAATAATTAAAGAAAAAAATTAAATAAAAATAGTAAAAATAACCAAATGGGTCTGCTGTTAGCAATTCTGGGGGGTGGGAATCTGAATTTCCCAGCCCATTAAGCTCCAAGCCCAGTCAACCGCGCTGGATCCCGTACCAGCATTGACTTGAGGAGCACCTAGGACATTCAAGGGAAAGACGTTAGATCTGGCCAGCAGTGCATCCAATGGTTGGGCATGGAGGTTGTATGGAAGGCGTGTGAGGGAGCATTGTACTGGATTTGCCTGAAATAATTAGGAAAATAATAAAATGCACACGCTTGGGATCGAACCCAGGACGTGTGCATCAAAGGCGTGCCTCCCAACCATCTGCGCTGCTGGTTCCTTTGTTAATACAAGTAAACAAAATATAATATAATATAAAAACCCATGATGCCCAGAAAAATGCGCGAAAATTCAAATCAACCGGTCATGGGCTGCCACGCATCACCTTCTTCACCGCAACCGTCGTCTTAGGTTGAAGACTTATACCTATGGACGTTTGCTGTAACTACAGCCCTGTAAAAATTCCAAAATCTCGTACGAGCATGATAAATTAATTGTGATGGTACCAATCAAATCGTCTTGGTCTCACGAGTATCACGGTACCTCATTCATGGTCCAATTTTTCCTGTATCAGAAATCCCTAAATCGTGCTCTTAAACCCTAACAATGGTGAATATGGATTCCTGCATTGTTAGTATAATTAAGTGATACAGAAAGCTTGCAAACATGATTATGAACAAGAATATATGGATAACATGCGTTTAGGATGCATAAAACATTGTAATCGAGTTTGAGTTTTAAGGCAAACCGTGATGCTTTTAGGGACAATTTCTGGATGCTTTGAGGCTTGCAAATGATGTTGTTAGCTTCCTGGGATGTCTAGAAATCGATTGGAAACGTTGAACTGGCTTGAATTGGCCTGTAGACAAAGATAGGTCTCACACTTTTCTTGCAAAATTTTGGTTTCTTTCTTGCTGTTTCACGCTTCTAATCCTTGTGTTTATGGTCTGGAATTATTGGTGTATATGTAGTAGACTGAATTAGGTCAACAAAATTGTATCATATCTTTGAGAATTATGAAAATTGGACTTGATTTGATTAATGTATGACATCTTTCTAAAACAAGCTTCAATCCAATCTTTTCTAACCCTAATGAGCCTTGCACGAATTGATCATCATGCTAGCTATATATGGACTCCAAATGTGCACAAAAATCCCAAGGTTTGATTTGTTTTCATTATTTTACCATTTAATTTGATTTATTTTTATTTAAATGAATAAAAAATCAAAATAAATGATAAAAGAAATAAAATAATAGGTGGAAAAGCTCAGGGGTCGTGGGTCCTATTAGAAACATGTTTCAAGCAAGAAAACATGGGCCCCTTTGGGAAAAATGCCAATTTGATCAATATTGACTTTTGACAATTTTCCAAAAATTGCCAACTTTGACAATTCCCAACTCTCTTAATTTTGACCCTAGGAGGGTGTTCTTGGACTTTTTAGAAATCTTAGGATGTCCCCTAACCAACCTTTTTGGTTTCATATCAATTGGATCTTCCATGTTCATGTATGAAGCTTTGACCCAAAATGTGTTTTTGTTGACTTTTCAAAAGGACCTATAATGTAAAAATTCATATCTTTTTGTGGGTGAATATTTTGAACTTGTGAGATGAATATTAATTGTAGGGAATTGAATCCTATTCAAAATGAGATTTGGATGGAAAATTCATGATAAAGCATGTGGAAGTTATGCTTGGTCAAAGTTGGGTTGACTTTTACTGAGAAACCCTAATTTAGCAACTTTTGGGTTTTGATGAATTTGGAGCATTCCTTGGGGAATCATGGTCAACCCTTGATCAAATGATGAAAGTCACTTCAAAATGTTGATGTTGACCCAAAATCTTGAGGTTTGACTGTATGTGGGCCACAATTGACTTTTGACCTAATACAATAGATTTCTCAAGCATCTGAGCAGTTGATTGGGCAAACTTCTTATGCAAGGCATGAAACTTGACACGTAGGGCCTTGAGAACATATTAAGACCATGGAGAGAATATGAGACCTTTGTTGTCCTCTCATCTTGATGAAAATAGAAACCCTAATTGGAGGTACACTACCTTAGGAGAGAGCTTGTCTGGTCAACTCTTGGGCTTCCTCGAGCAACTTGGGGACCTCACTTGACATTTGTTGAGTAAAATGGGAGGGCAAATTTTAGGGTACAACAATGCAGTTAAGTGAGATACTCTTATAAAACCAAAGTTACTTAGTGGATTAGAGCTGAGGAATTTGGAGGTCATGAATAGAGCTTGCTTAATGAAACTTAGTTGGAAGTTTCTAACCAACTCTAGTGATTTATGGTGTAAAGTGATAAAAGGTATCTATTTAGATAATGAGGGGCATGACCATTACAAAACCTGGAGTAAATAATCTAGTTTGTGGAGAGCCTTGTATAACACCATGCCTTATATTAAAGAAACCAAAATTTGGAGTATTGGTGATGGTGAAAGCATCAATGCTTAGAGTGATATATGACTGGGACCCGATGTTTGTATTGTAGACTTGGACGTTAATTCCATAAGATTTGCAAGGGATGAAGGTAAAGGAGATGGTGAATGAAAAGGGTGATTGGAATTGGAGGTTACTGCATGGGTGGATGCCTCAACATATGGTAAACAAAATGCTGTCCATCATACCGCCTTGTTTTGAGAATGGAGATGATATATTTATTCTAGCTCGGGCTAAAGATAGATCTTACTCATTGAAGGCTATGTATTATGAGCTTCTGAATATTGATGAGCATGAAGAGAGATCTTCCTGGGATAATATTTGGTCCTTGAAAGTCCCAGAAAAATTCGTTATTTCATGTGGCTGCTGAAACATGATAAACTAATGGCTAATTATAACAAGAGAAAACGAGGATTAGGTTCTACGACGTGTAATTTATGCGGTCACGTGAGGGAGTCGACTTTACATGTAGTCTGCGACTGTTCTACAGCCATGCAGGTTTGGAGATAAATGCTTCCATCTGGCATGACACAATCTTTTTTCCTGCATAGCCTGGGGAGTGGTTTTCGATGAACATATCTAATTCCAGTGGGACTAGGATGTCGTGGAGTTTGGTGTGGGTTACAAGCTACTACTTTATTTGAATGTTGAGGAATAAGGAGGAGAACAACGAATAAGCAGACCGACCTTTTGATCCAGAAAATTTTATTTTTAAGAAGTTAAAGGAATACGAAGAAGCTTTGCAAACAAATATAGTTGTTATGGCAAAGACTATAGTGCCCAAGACCTTTACTTGGAGTCCATCGAATATGAACTGGGTGAAGCTGAATATATATGGTGCTTGTAAAGCCAATTTGGTTGCTGGCTGTGGGGGAATGATACTAAATGAGGAAGCAAAATGGCTGGGAGGCTTCTCTAAATTTTAGGGCCAGTGAAACGTCTTTATGGCAGAGCTCTGGAGCTTGTTCGAAAGGCTTAAGCTTATGTGGTCTCTTGGTTATCGTAAGGTAGAAGTCAACGTAGATTCTCCCATGGTGGTTCAAGCTATATATAAAGGTAGTTCTTGTGTTAAAAGAGAGCTTGACAATCATTTCACAGATAAAAAAGATTATTGAGAAGCATGGAAAGTTCGTTTGTCCTATTCCTTAAAAGAAGCGGACAAGTGTACTGATGCGTTTGTAAATATTGATTGTAATATGAGATATGATATCATGATGTATAATTCATCGTCTAATTGGTTAACTAGTCTATTAGATGAGGATTCTCGTGATATCTTTTTCTCGTTGCAGTGTAATTTATTTGTTTCTTGGGCATCTGACCCTCTCTATAACAAAAAAAGACTAATCTATAATGTATTACCAATTAACCATTATTTATATATATATATATATATATATATATATATATATATATATATATATATATATATATATATATATATATATATATATATATATATATATATATATATATATATATATATATATATACTTTTTATTGCAATTATTATTTTTAATTAGGTTAAAAACATTTAATGAAATCAGATACTATTCTTAATTTATATTTTGTTTTGTTTCATTCTAACATATTTCTCGGTCTTATATATATATATATATATATATATATATATATATATATATATATATATATATATATATATATATATATATATATATATATATATATATATATATATATATATATATATATATATATATATATATATATATATATATATATATATATATATATATATATATATATATATATTCTTTATATATATATATATATATATATATAAAGAATATATATATATATATATATATATATATATATATATATAAAGAATATATATATATATATATATATATATATATATATATATATATAAAGAATATATATATATATATATATATATATATATATATAAAGAATATATATATATATATTCTTTATTATAACTATTATTTTTAATTAGGTTAAAAACATTTAATGAAATCGGATACTATTGATTAAAAATATTTCTCGGTCTTTTATGTATTGATTAAAATTAATATTATTGAAATTAATCTTGATACAATTCCATTACTTTTAAAATTATTATAAATTATTGATAAAATTGAAATATATGATTTATGTAATAATAATAATATTTAATTTACCTATTAATTTTGAAAAATGTTTATCTTGTTTGATATTATTGAATGAATTTAACTTTTGATGTAGTTTTTTATGTGTAATTTTGAAGACTTGTAGTAGACAAATAATATTAAATTTGGTTCAAAAAATTTGTTAAAAATTTATATTATTTTTACCAATTATAATTTTAGAGAGAGAATAAATTTATGTTATCATTTTAATATTTGTTATTGATTGTTGACGAAGAAGTAAAATAAATATTACTAATTAATAAAATTTAAAATTTAAAGAGAATATTCTAAATGCGGACATTTCTCTCTCATATATTTATCTAATTTTATATATTTATCTAATAAGATAAGTATCTATTTAAAACAAGGTTGTATTTGTGTTGTTTGTAATTACGTCAATTGTTTGCACATATATTTAAAAAGTACTATCTTTGTTTTTTCAATTATTAAAATATTAAATTTTCTTATTATTCTCTTTAATTTTATTAAATAATTAATATATCTTATATATAAATCGACCGCATCAATTATTTAATGAATTCTATAATTAAAATTTATTTATAATAAGTAATGGAAGGAATAATTTTTAAGAAACAATTTTTTTATTTATAATATTTTAATTATATTTCATTCATTTTATATTTTCTTTCATTATTGAATAAAATAAAAATAATTTTAATTAACTTTACTATAATTAATACTAAGAACTTTAATCTGACAATTAAAAAATTTACCTTTTTTAATAAATCAACATCTAAAAAAGAATATAGGAAATAATAATTTTACGAAAATTTCTAATTTTCAACAATACAATGAATGAATCATTTACTTATGTACAATGAACCCATTATTTTTTAGATAATTTTCTTCTTTATTTTCCTTTTCCTTTTTTCACTTATAAAAAAAAACACTTTCCATGAATATTAAGTTAAATTGATAATCTAGAAAGCCCCTAAATTTATTTACACGTGTAGATAATAAAATCCAAAAAAAATCTATTTTTTTAAAACCCGAAAGAAATCTATTTTTTTATAGTAAAAAAATCTATCTGTAATTATTAAAGTTTTTTTCAGTAATTAAAAAGAGAAAAGAGGTGATGTAAGAGAAATTAATTTTACACCGTAAATCAATAATAATTTTATCTCAAAATAAATCACACTTTAATTTTAAAATTCTTTTAATAATAAAGTATATTATTGACTTTGTATTAGACTTTAAAAAAAAAATCCATATTTCACTATAAATAAAATAAAAATCAAATTTCGCTATAAAAAAGAAAAATTTAAATTTATGGTAAATTTATATATTTATGGTATTATTATAGGAAAAAAATATTTATGGTATTTATAAAATAAATATGTATATACACACATATATGGTAGAGGCTAAGAAAAATTCATGTATATCCTTATTTTTTGTATAAAAGAAATCTAAATATTCCTTTTTTCTTTTTGGGAATTCAAAATCCATATATATATATATATATATATATATATATATATATATATATATATATATATATATATATATCCAAATGTAGATATTTTATTATTTAATAAAATAATTAAACGGGTTTTACTATAAATTAAATAAATAAATACAACTCTAAAAAAAAGCAATATACATTTCATATACATATTAGTCTAAATTCATGAAAATATTCTATAATGTGATAAATTAAGATAATTATTAATTATTAATTATTTAGTTTGTATTTATATTACATCATTGATGATTGATGATAGATGAATAGATGATAGCATAGCATAACATAATCTCACATTTAACTCTATGTTAATACCGTATTGATTTTCATATTGACGAAAACACCCTTTCAGAAACATAGATTTTAATTTTGCAAAATTAGCTAGCCATGGGTAAAACCGTAATATAAACTCAGCCCAATACATTGGCGATCAAAACACCAGAGGCTCGTTTCGTCCACCATGGCTTCGTACGAACTTGGATTTGAAGCTTCAAGCAAAATCAAAATTTAACACGTTCTTCAATTTTCCCCAATTTTCAAAATTCGTTACGCTATTTTCAAATTCAATTACACCATTGCAAGATTCGAGGTAGATTTTGCGTGTTTGTTTGTGTTATCATGTCAATTTTGAGCTTGCTATTGGTTTGTTCATTTTTCAATTTCAAGTTCTAGGGTTTTGATTTCTTAATTGGGAATGGTTTTTAGCTTTATCAGGATAGTTTGTGGTTGAATTCTTTGTTTCTTTTTGTTTTGATTGTTTCCTTAGGGTTTATTCATGTTCTTAATTCTCTATTTTTTGATTTTTTTATTTAAATTTTTGATTTTAAGTTTTGAACTGAGATTTAGGAAGTAGAGGTTGAATATATCTGCTTGCATAAAGTAAGCTAGAATATGTGCAAAGGAAGTTATGTTGTTGATGGAATTATGATTTAATTTGATTTGGTTTTTTATTAAAGTAATTTGTATACTGAAATTTGAGATAAGAGAAAAGCTTAAGGTTCAACAAGAGGACTAGGATTTTTTTAATAAAAACTGTATTGGAGAATGATGCGATATTCAGAGGAAAAGAACATAATAGAAAAAGTAGACCGACCTTGCAGTGACAAAAAATGATTTTGAATGAATTGATTTTGCTAAATTGATTTTACTTAGAAGTGTGAGTTGAACGTTAAGTGATTTATATTTGGATACGATCGCATGAAAGTGAGTTGAACAATATATTTCAGTGTAAAAATCTTGTTTAGATTCAAAAGTTACAAATCTTAGCTTCAAGTTAGAAATTAAAATTGTTTTTGGAGGCAAAATGAATTATACTCTAGAGCTACCAAACATGTTTAAATCAAATTTGCACCTTTAGAATCAAGTCTAGCTGTGTCCCAAACGGGGAACCAAACATAGGTGTACATTTAGTGTAGGAAGGAAAATATGTAACCAATAGTGTGCTGCATGTTTTCTTATGGGCTGATAAAATCAGGCAGTAAAACTCAAATGTCTTGATGGGTTCATTTTTAAAGTGAATGTTGGGAATGTTTATAGTTTCTAGATAATGAAATATTTGTTGTCGTGAGATTGACTACCTGTTTTTTAATTGGGAAAATGATAATGAAGTCTAGTTAATGGGGCCAGAGCTTGTGTTTGAAATTCAGATGATAATAAGTTGTATTAATTGGCGTTAGAAATTGAAACTGTAAATGGTTGTAGCAATTAGTTTTTGAAGTGGGAACATTAAGTTGTAGAAGTATTTGGTTTGAATATAGTTTATTGTTTACGAAATCTTTATAGCATTTGTCATAATAGTAATGTAGATTTCGTCTTGATGCTGCATTGAGCATTTATGTCTGTTAAACTACACTTTTGTGTGATATCATTATTAAACTTGTGTAAGCCAAGTTCGGCTGTGTATGGATATGTTTTATATTACAATCAATGCGACTTGCTTGAGAATTGAGAAGAAGTTGCATCTAGTTTTATTTCATTTTTTTTTTTTCATTCAATAATCTTTTGTTTCAAAAGATTTCTACATTTATATCAAAAAAGGTTTCTGATGGTGCCAATAAGACTAGAGATAATTGAATCACATCTAATAACTTTTTTTTCCTTAAAAAGGATGTTTTTTTGTCAAAATATTTCATTGTTTCTTAATTAACCTGTAACCTATAGATAGCTCATTTCAACTTAGTACAGGGCCATTATGCTATGAAGTCTTTGTATCATCAGTCTTGAGGGTATATTCTATTAAAATGAAAATTTGTCTTAGATGTTAACTTTGAAATTGAAATGGTGTAATATACAAAAAGCTGATAGTTTGATATAAGAATGAGGATCAGGTCCCATATAGAGCTGAACCTCTCAACCCTTCTATTTAGTGTCCACATGGATATCTCTACTTCATATCCAATGGAGTTTGATTTTCTATTATTATTTTGATCCTTTCAGGTACACGTCCAAGTGTTCCCTTGTAAATCAGATTTGCCCTTTATGTGCTGTAGTACTACATCTGTGTAATGCAACACTCTCTGATCTGTATTTTTTGTTCAAAAGATGTGGGGAAATTAGTGCAATGGCAGCATCCACCAAGTTTGACGTATCTTCCACCAGCCCAGATAGACCTTTGTACACTGGGCAGCGAGGATCCCACGTAGCTGCTTCAATAGATAGATCAGGTAGCTTTCGTGAGAGCATAGAAAATCCAATTCTGTCTTCTCTTCCAAACATGTCGAGAAGCAGTTCTTCAGCGACTCAAGGGGATGTGATGAGCTTCTTCAGTTGTGTGCGTTTTGATCCAAAGTTAGTTGCTTTAGATCATAAGTCTAATCGTCCAATGGATTATAAACGCCATGTCAGTGCTGCTCTTGGCATTTCACTGGATGAATCTCCATCCAGTTATGCAAAAGGCAAGCAATTGACATCCATAGTACCAGAAGATATCAAAAGACTCAGGGATGGGTTACATGCTAACTTTAGGAGGGCAAGGTAGTTCTTTGAATGTTCTTTTACTTCTATTGAAGTTTTAGCTGTTTAATAACACTCAACATGCATTGAAGTTACAGCTGTTTAATATCATTGTACAACTCAACAGGGATCGTGCTAAAATGTTCAGTGAAGCCTTATCTAGATTCAACAAAGATTTTCCAAATATAACTTCAAAGAAGAGATCTCGAGCAGACAATTTTTCTACTGACCGTTCCGGTTTTACATTAAGTGATCGGCCAGTCTTGGGTCCCAGCATAGGTAAGGTTGGAGCTCATGGTCATGCAGTCATAGGCAGTTTCGAACATGACCAGCAAAAGTTGGAAGAAAGAACCAAAAATGCTGTTCCAAACAAGCGCACTAGAACTTCTTTGGTTGATGTCAAGGTATGTGTATTGGCTTTCTTTGTAGCTTGCTTGCTGGTATTAACAATACATCTCGGATTTTTTGCCCCCTAATGTTACATCTCTAGTTTCTTGCTGCTCTCAACTTAATACTGCGTGCCCATTAAGTAATAATATATGACTATATAGTATACACCCCAAGTCATAAATTCCCCGCGGTTCGGTAGATATATATTTGCATGACATGAAGCCTGTTTTATGTTTGTCTTTACATTAGTTGCCAACTAGAACACTTCACCTCTGTTATTTGGTGGAGATGCCTCCTTTTGTGTAAAAACCTATTATTAAGTTATGAGATTCATTCTTATGCACTGTCGGTGTAATTTGTTTTACACATGCATCATCAAATCATACTATGAAGTTACTTTGTTATGTTTGTTCCTAAAATATCTCTAAAAATGTTTACATGATGAGATGAGATTGGATGCGTGTATACCAAAATTTACATCGATTTCTGTAAAATATTTTTATTTATGTTTATTATATAAACGTGGTTCACCCTTAAGCATGTATCTATGTCTCTAATGAAATTCATTTTATTATTTGTTGCATTGCATCTACGAGTTTCCAAAATGGGTCGGTTTGGTTCCCTTCTTATAATTTGTTTTTTTCTGATTAGAATTTGAAACGACAAACTTGTTTCTTATTTTCTTGTTAAAACAAAAAAATAAAAAGCAGTTTTTCAAAACTATTTTTCAAAATGGTTTGTAAAAACTGAATCCAAAACACAATCAAAGAAGCGCACCCTTTTACTTTAGTCTTTACGTTTTAGTATGGCATGCGAGTATGTACTGTGGCTTTACTACTTTCTTTGCATGACTCTCTATATAGATAGTCAGATTCCATATTAACTTGGTATGCTTCAAACTCTGTTGAGTAAAACTTACTTGGGGCATGTTTAACTCTAGATGGATGTGCGGACAAATTCACTCGTCAGGTCATCTGGGATTGTAGATAGAGAGAAGGATATTGTACGAGTTGCTAATAATAGTACAATTCAAGGTGAGGAACGGACTTTTCCCATTGGAGGTGATGGTTGGGAAAAGTCTAAAACGAGGAAGAAGCGTTCTGGCATCAAACCCGACGGGTCTCTGAGTACAACATCGGCAAAACCCGTTAACATTTTCCAGGAAACTAAGCAAGGAATGCAACAAAGACTAGCTACTGATGCACGGTCAAAACTGAGTAATGATTCTCATTCTTTCAGGTATGAACGCATTTGTGTGCATTTATTCATGTATAAACAAATAATTAGCTAGTATATGCTCCCTTGGTAGTTGGTTTTATATAATAAATTATTATTTAGCATAAAGATAAATAAATTAATTCGTGGTCTTTATATCCAGATATGAAAGTTTTAGTAAAATAATAAGACAGTATATATGGGGAAGATTTATATCTTACTTTTTTCCAATTTATTAGCTATAAATGTTATCTCTTAGCATCCATGAATAGATTATCATATAGTTTTGGACTTCAAGTATGGGAAAAGTTTCAGTAATTGTTCTCGGGATTAAAGTGTTCCTTGTCTAAATTCCACTGCAGGCAGGGAAGGCTGTAGTATCGCCTCATTGTCAATATACTACTAATCACATTTAACTACTCCCTCCGTCCCACAATGAGTGACTCATTTGGAATAAAATAGTGTCCCAAAATGAATGACCCATTTCAATTTTCAATACATTTTTTCCAATTCTATCCTCTAATTAATAAAAATTTCATCATTCCCAATACATGATTAGGGGTACTATAATAAAAACATTATTCTCTCTTATTTTTATACACTTTTCTTAATATGTGTGAAATGACCAACTCGGTCACTCATTTGTGGGACGGAGGGAGTACTAATAAAACCTTTATTCATTATATCATACTCCCTCCATTCCACAATAATTAACCTATTTGCAAAAATACTTGTTCATTAATAGATTGACACTTTCAATTTTAAAGGTGATATTGATTATATTTATCCAATTGTACCATCTAATTACTACTGTATGCTCCACTCATGATTCAATGTATTCTACTTTGCATTTATGATAGTAATGGTAAATGTACAATACTCAATAGGGTTAATTTGGTAAAATTATTATTGTCTCTATTTTAGTTATATATTTTTTTAATATGTGAAATTGTCAAATAGGTCGATTATTTTTGGATGGAGGGAGTATTATCTAATGCACAAATGTAAGATTAAATAATAATTGTATAATTAATTGAACAGTTTGTCAACAATTGTTAATTTTGGTTTAGATTCAATGTACTAATAGGCATTTTCTTTTATCATTCAATATAAAACATTTTATTTTGAAAATGTAATTTTTAAATTACATTTTTTTCTATTATTAATTATAATGGCAATTTTTTACCGGTGCTATACTCATAATACCAAATAATAAGTTGACCAAATTGCACAAACACTTAATATAATAAGAATGACCAAATATGGTTTAGGATATATACAATGCACTCATTCTACCTACGGTAATTTGTTGGATTCTCTTCGTTTGACGGACAAAATGCAATACTGAAAAATAAAAAAAATAAACGAGTGAGCTGTTGTGGTTTTTTCCATTTATATTGTTAATGGTGAAAGGCTTTATCTTTATATATAAATAGATATTGTTGTGAGGGATTATGCTCTCTCATTTTAAGGTTCTTCAATGGAAGATATCATGTAACAGTTTTTTATTTTTTATTTTTCTTAAAAAACAAATTCCTGTTGGTTATCTTTATAGCGTAGTCTATGGTACGTATATGATAATTTTATGTATATTTTTCTAGGTCGGGCCTTTCTAATGTAACTGCTGGAGCTGGAAAATCAGATGGCGTCTCTCAACAAGTTGGGTTGGGCACACGTGTCTCTACTCCTAGAAATGATGCCGATAGCAATTCTGCTATCAATGATAGGCGGGATCGTCCTGTTAATTCAGACAAAGAAAGGATGAATTTCAGAGCCACTAACAAGTAAGCACTTAAGAGCCTTTTGATTTATTGCTTTCACAAAGAAAACTTTCTTTTATCCTTAGCAGCCTTTTTCTCCACTTTATGTTCACGTTGCCTGTTCCGTGCATTTGTGGGGTTGTCCGTTTGCTCCATTTCCGTGTATTTGTTGATTTTTATAAACTGTGATTAGCATTCATAGTTACCTTTGTTGTGTTTTTATTCTTTAATTGATTAGGTTTTGGATTAAGTAATTGCTTTAGGATAAGAATAAGTGTCTGGCTTCATCTTTTTAGAGAGGTTTATGTTAGAAATTTGTTGAGGGATAGGGTGACTTTGCTATATTGATGTTGATAAGTCCTAGTTGTATACTTTTCCTTTATATTTCTTAAAGGATGATCTCTGTCTTCTTTTCCTCTTTACTCTTCCCTGTCTTGATAATTTCTTATATACGTTCTATAATTGATAATTGATTTAGTCTTTGCATTTTTTTGTATGCCCAGGGCAACAGTCCGTGATGAATTTAATTCAACTAGCCCTAATTCATGTGCAAAATTAAATACATCTGTTCGGGCACCACGATCGGGCTCAGGAGTTGTTTCCAAGTTGTCACCAGTTATCCACAGAGCAACTGTTCCTAATGATTGGGAGTTATCTAATTGTAGCACTACGACCAAGCCCCCTGCTGGTGTTGGCACAAGCAATCGCAAACGTGCAGCATCAGCACAATCATCTTCTCCACCTGTTGTCCCCTGGCAGAGGCCACAAAAGAGCTCCCGCACTGCCAGAAGAGCAAGTTTTATTCCAGTTGTTTCGAGTAATGATGATTCCCCTGTTTTGGATTCTGTATCTGATGCGTCTGGCAGTGATCTTGGGTTAGGAGTTGCCAAACGTTTGTCTGGCGGTTCTCCCCAGCAAATAAGATTAAAAGGGGATCCATCATCTTCAGCTGCCTTATCTGAAAGTGAAGAGTCAGGGGTGGCTGAGATGAAGCCTAAAGACAAGGGCAGGAAACCAGATGAGATAGACCAGAAAGCTGGACAAAATGTTCAAAAGGTTTCTAACATGGTCCCTCCAACGAAAAGAAATAAACTTGTGTCCAGGGAAGAACATGGGGACGGTGTTCGGAGGCAAGGAAGGACAGG